ATTTATTGATGTTTTGAGATAAATCAATTGGATGTACTTTGCAATTGCATTTCTACTCCACGACTCTGGATAAATACTGAGTAGGCACCCCTCATCTTCTTGGCTGAAAGTATAGCATCACTAAGTTTGGATTGCATGAATACATATAAAATATCTTTCTCTACATCAGAGTGCCATCACAGAATGCACAGGCCTTGCCTAAACTGAAAAAAAGAAATCCAGGCATTGACCTTTGAAATAATATTTTAGACTGAAAAACGTTTATTGAAATAGACATGATTATTCTTTAACTTGATGGCATCAGTTTAGCATTCTCTCAATGACAGCAAATTACTTTTCCAGAATTGCTCTGCTAAAAGCTGCATCAGCAGATGGAAAAGTCTCTACTGTACAAGATCTAGTAAAACTGAAAGTGGAAAATCCACACAGCAGCCCTGAGACCTGCTCTAAGGAATTGTTATTCTTCACTTCCCAGGAGATGAAGTCAACATTTCTGGAAATGAAATACCCCCTTAATATAGTATAGCATAAATTATATGTTCTTAATACTTTTTTGTCTCTTTAAAATAAATAAACAAACTCACCAATTAAACATTCAGATGTTTCTCTTCATGTAAAAAATCATGGTCCTTCTGAGAGTTACTCCTTGAAAGAGGCTTTGGGGCCTCTTGAAAGACTGCATTGTCTGACTGGAGCAGATTTGTCCTGTTTGACAGATGCCCAAGGGTGCAGAGAGGGCACTTAGAATTGTTTTTAACTCTGGAAATCATTGCATGGACTGTTGCATATTCCCTTTTTATAATGATTCTGCATTGAGTATAGGAGAAGAAGATGGTGCTTTCCAGGGAAAAAAATTACTTCTCCTCCTGCCCAGTATCTTTCCCTTCCTTCCCATAGTATACATTTTACACTGAGTATTTTCCTGAGTTTTCTTCCATGGAACAATTTGAGTAGTTTAGTATTGGAGTCACCCCTCCCCCCCCCATTAACCTCTTTCACCCTGTTTTGCTCTGTCTGCTTCTTGATAGACACTGTTATCATTCTAGGTGTACTGATTTCTGCGGAGCTAACAAGTTGCACCTCCCAAAACTGAATTCTCTGGTCTGACAACATCCATACTGGATCAGAGAACCCCAGTAGCCTAGTGGTGGGAGGGCAACCCAGAAGGATAAGGTTGAAGTAGTGGAATGGGGCAGGGGCTGATGGCAGCCCTGACAGCCTATGGCTCTGCGTCCAGGTTGAGGCAATCCCTGGAAGTGTAGGACTGGGCTGGTGACAGCTCATCGAAGAGCATGGGGCTGGGGCCAGGGCATGGGGCCAGAGCATGGGGCTGGGGCCAGCAATGTTGGGGCTGGCGGCAGCTCCAGCAGCATGGGGCTGGAACCCCAGGCAGCTTGTGGAAGCGGGGCCAGAGCCTCCGGGCTGAGACTAGAGCCTGAGCCCCTGGCAGCCTGAGGAGGGCCAGAGCCAGTTCCCAGCAGCCCATGGTATTGCGGGTCTGGACCCAATGGCAGTGTGAGCTGCTGGAACCTGGCAGGCAGTCCAGTTGAGGCAACAGCAGCGGGGTCAGTGACCCCCCCAGGCAGCCCAGCAGGGCTTAGAGGGAGCCTCCCTCGGCAGAGTCGGCAGCTGGGGGCTGTAGCAGGGAACTATTTCTACCCCAGCAAATTCCCTGGTTCTGGACAGGTCCGGTCCCGAGAGTGCCACTTGAGAGATGTACTAGTAAAGAGGAGGAACTCTGACAGATCTAATTATGGGTGAATAGTTGACTGTTATTTTTTATTCCTTCTAATTCTGAAAGCAGAATAGAGGAACTTTAAGTTTGGATTACATCAAATTGGTTATTGATTCTATTAATTTTATAGTGCCTAGAATTTTTATGCTTTCTTGCCAATCTCCATTACGGACTTTCACATTTAGATTCCTATCTCAGTAAGTTATTGGGAAATAAAGCAAGCTGAGGAAAGCTTGTAAAGGAATATGCATAAGGATTAGAATGTTCTCTCATGCATATGTTTTTAGATAATGTATTGTATTGTATTGTTTTGCATTTAAGACCTATACTGTAGATTACATAATGTATGAAGTCCTTTAGAAACACATTCATTTATTGTTCTGTGATTGCAAACTTCTGCTTCATGGGCTGTTTTTCCATTAAGAATGTTTGTAGTTCACTTCTCATTTTGAAGACTGTGCAATGTTACATACAATGTGTCCATGTTCCTGGCATAAAGTAAGAACAGTACAGTAGTTAGCATTTATATGGCGTATCAGTCAACAGTGTGATGTCAATAATATAGCCACCCTGCTCTTCATAACAATGATTACATAGTTTTTGTTATTAATGAAAAAAGAGATTTTAAGTTTAAAAATATATTAAATTAATATGTTTTTGTTTAAAAGATCAAAGAATGCTTCATGAAAGAATGTTATCTATCAAAATAAAAAGCCAACAGAAGCTTTCTGAGTAAAGATCATGCAACACTTTTAAGTTTTCACAGCATCTAACACAATGGGAAATTAATCTTGATGAAGACATTTGAGTGTTACTATAAAATATAATAATAATACATTGAAAATGAAGCCAGGAAAAAATCCGAGGTGTTAGTTATATTTGTGTTAAATTAGTTGAAGAAGGAAAATATTAACAAGAGATAATACTCTAAGGATTGTAGAGGACTAAAACTATAGAACAGAAATACAAATAGACAGTAAAGGCCAGTGTCATGTTGCCACAAACAAAATATTTAAAATAATTGTTATAAGTTAGTGACTATCTGGAAACTGCATGGCCTTCAAGATGCTACACAGAATGACTAAGTGGGACTTCAAAGCAAGCATGAGGATACATTTCAAACATTCCTATCAGAGCGGGCGAATATTTTGTATGAATAATTTTTGATAAATTCAGTTTCAATTGACCTAAAACTATTCATGAATTTGCTGAATAATTGTAACAAATGTTCATGGGGCTGACCCAGATGCCATCTGCCAATGAGGGGAGGACTGCCATATAACCGTTAGCCCAGCAGTGCGGGTGCTCATCTCTCAGATTCAATTTCCAGTTCCCCTTCTGCAAAAACTATTTAAATTTTATAAAACAGTTTCAACAGGAGCAACCAGTCCAGAGTATCCCACAGCACAGTGGTTAGAGTACTTGTCTGAGAAGTGGAAGGCCGAATTGAAATACTTTTCTACATTAGGAAGGGAGAAAAATGGAACACTGGTCTCTTACAACATAAGGGAGTGTACTAAAATAGGTGGGTCCTGTCTCTTGCCAACACTGAACATTTAATTTACTGCAAGAACATTTCTAGTGGGTCCTATTGATTCGTGTCCCCCTCCCCTCCCCACCAAGAAAATTGGAAGTTTTCCCCCATTTTTTTGAATTGGCAGTAAATAAAAAAATTAAGTGTTTACTGAACTCTAATTCTTTCTTCTTGGTAGCATGCTCACTTCGCATGTGATAGGTAGGGGGATCAATGCCCACATTCTCCAGTGGTGGGGGCAAGCCCCATTCTACTCCTTACTGGCAGAGCCAGCCAGGGGGCTAAGTGGGTCCAGTAGCCCCATTTCCTACTTACTCTTCCCAAAAGCCAGCCATGCTGGGGCAGAGAGCTGCTGGAGGACACCAGCCCTCCTGGGCCAGACAGTGGCAGGAGCACTGGAGACAGGTTGCAGGTGGGGCAGAATTAGCTCCCCTGGAAAAGTGCTGCCCCTGCGCATGAGAGGTAGCAGGATTCACTCCCACCTGCTTGCGGGGCCGGCCCCTTTCCTGCTTCCCCAACTCTTATTCCCACCATGCACTTTGTGCAGGGGCCAAGGCACCTGGCTGGGAGCCAGGACTCAGTACCTTTTCCCAAAATATACGAATCCCCTCCGCCCCCAATCCTCTGTTCTGCTCACACAGGAGCCACAATGATTCCCACAGCACGTGCCAAGGGCCGCAACTTAACTGTGGTTGTGTTATGCTTAAAAAAAGCACCCGGGATTTTTTTCAGAGGGATAAGGCAACACGCCACATTTGTTGAACATACACACATTAATCAATGTTTATCATATGCATATGACACATCACACTCATGCACTCTCACACACACACAAGCACACTCCGTATATTTCCATGGTCACCAACAAGTCGATCGCGATCTAGTGGTCGATCGCGAGGCCTTGATCAGTCGCTCGTGAGGCATCCTGTCCGCCCCGCCCCCATTTCCCTCCCACCCCCAAGAAGCCCCACTTCTAACCTCAAGTGAAAATGGAGGTAGTGTCGGCTTCCCAGGGATGGACAGAAGTCCTGCAGCTTAGTGCTACTTCCGACGATTCCAGAACTGCGTAGCAGTGGAATTAGCTCCAGTGCTAAAGTGCTTGCTGAAGTGCTCGCTTAGCATGTGGGATCGATACCCACGTTCTTCAATGGTGTGTGGTCCCTACTTTTTTCAGGAGACACGCAGGGGGTTTCCCGGTGTGCGCAGGGTGGTTGGTCCCGGGGTAGGCGTGCGCGCACGGGGCTTCCCAGCACGGGGTGGGGGGTTGGAGCCAGGACAAGCATGCACGGGTTTTCCCTGCACCGGGGAGTGCGTTCTTGGTGAGTGACCCTTAGGCTGCTCTGCAATTGACAAAAAGATTGTGGGTATGCGTTGCTAACCACATTTCTTGGGCTGCACACGGCTTGAGACTCCTTCAAGGCTAGTGGGGAATGGCTGCACTTTGGAATTCAAATGTGTTGTCTGGGACCATAAATTAGAACAGTTTTGGAGACACTTTTTTTTTCAGAAGAGGCTTTTCTGACATTTGGCCCATCTACACAGGCCCAAATGTGGAGAAAACCTCCTCTTTCAGAAGAGTCCTTATTCCTAATAAAATGAGGAATACAGGGCTTCCAAAAGAACACGCCCACTTTTTTGGAAATAGATCTAAAAAGTTGACCTGTTCCAGAGTTTTTCCCAGATACAAAAGTTATCCTGGAAAAGCGCTATATTGGGGCTGTAGCCAAGAAGGGCACCATGGTTTAGCTGGTTAAAACCCTTGCCTTGTAAGCAAGAGATCCTAGGTTTAAATCCCTGTGGTGCCTTGCTATAGCCTTTACTCAAGTTTTCCTGTCCCCTTCTGGGACACAGAAAAGGCCTCCCCTGGCCACCCATGGAACTGCTGGTTCAGGAAAAGGCTGATTGGGGAGGAGTTTTGAGAAGAAGGAAACCACAAGCCTGGAGCTGGTGCAGAGGCTGCTGTGGCTGGCACTAGCAAGGCAGGGCTCTGACTTCCACTCTGAACCCCTGGGTACCACAAACTGGCCACTGAGTCCTGCTCCATGGTCGTCCCAGTGCTCTGGGAGCAAGCGATGTGCCTGTAACTCCCTGCCTCCCCCCTAGACACTCAAAATTGTAAATGAAGCTGGGATTTAAATATCCTGCACTTCATTTGCATATTCACAGACCGGTGCTATTTCAAAATACTTTATTTTGAAATAAAAAACACTGTTGAGATACGCTTATTGCGGGAGAAAACCCTTCGTCAGAAATAACCCTTAAACATCATTTTATAAGGAGTAAGGGGGATTTTAAAAGAAGGGTTTTCTCTTGAAAGAACTGTGTCTAGACAGCGCCTGTTATTTCAAACTAGCATATTTCAAAATAGCAGCCAGAGATGATTATGCAAATCCCCACTTAATTTGCAATGTCACTCAGCTGAATTTGCATTTCTCTCATGAAAGAGGAATGACGTGTAGACAAATCCTCACATGGGGAGATGCAGAGATCAGAATTTTCCTGCTTCCCTCAGCTTGTCCCATTTCCTGCCTTCCTGCCAGAGCTGACCCAGTGGCTGAAAGGGACAGCAGCTGCTACTGATGACTGGGAAGAGGAGAAGATGGGCAACAAGACCCTGGAAACCACTTGGCCTTACATCCTGGCCACCCACCATTTAGTCTGATGAGGCAATAATATGTGAAGGGGGAATTTTGACTGACAGACTCCTCTGAGCTGGAATCCCAGCTCCCACAGCAATCAGTGGAAAGGGGCAGCCCAGTAGGGACTGAAAACCACTGCTCCAGGGGAGGTTTGAATTCACAACCTCAGTATGTCTCCTATACGCACTGCTTTATAAATACTGTGCACTGACCCATTGCATCACTGGAGCAGATGTTTGAGAATTTCTCCAAAGTCCTTACATTGAGAAAGTGAAGAAGCACAAAGTAGAATTGAGCCAGAGGGGCAAGAAGATCAATATTCAAGGATTTACACAAACCAACCATTCCCCAGCAGGTCCCCCTGAGAATTGAACTCAGCTTGTAAGATTCAAGCTCCTGACCCCTTCCCCTTACACTACGGGACCATCACATAGTGATGTGATGCTTGAGGTTCTCAAGCATAGTGATGTGATGCATAGTGTGCTTGAGGTTCTCAGCTGGTAACTGATACACTGATCACCTTGTTTCTTCCATTCAGCTGTGTCACCTCTCCAGACCCTGCCCCATCTGTATGTGGGCTCATGGGAATGAGCTGGCTCCCTCTCCGGCAGAGGAAAGAGAAACGTTGCCATGTCCCTCCTCCTTAGCTGGCTGGCCCCAGGTAAGGTCACATGAGATTATCCAAACACATCTGCATCAGCCCACAGCCCTGTTCCATATCTAGGGCCAGCACTGGGTGGGCAGTGGTCAAGGAGGCAGCGACTCACAGGAAGAAGTCAGGGGCGGGGCTAATGAGGTGATCTTGATTTGTCAATGCCAAGTCCGAACTAGGGAGCAAATGTAAACGTACACAAACAGCACTCCGAACTGAGCCCATTAAATAACAGAATATTTAAGTTCCATCATAAAGTGTAACAACTATTTCATTTCATGTAGCGATATGAATCATCATAGTTTGTTTGCTAAATCAAGAAAATGGACAATTTTGTTTTATGCCTCAAAGGAACAGATCCGTGTAAGATACCGAATGGCTACGGAATATGTTGCAGTGTTAATGTTCTTTGTATTTGATTTCATATTAAATACATAAAGTCATGTACCTTGTTAATTATCCCTTGTTTCGATATTTTTTCTTCTATAAAATTATAAAACTATATTGAGCTAAACTCTTTGTGAGTAACTGGCGGGTACCACAGTAGCACACATCCACACAAGCCCAAATGCCCTGCACCCATCCCCGTTGGCAGCTACAGTCCCTTTCAGCCACTAGGACACCCCGGGGAGAGAGGCAGGAATGGGGCCAAGTGCAAGTCAGACTGAGGGGGGCAGGCAAAACTCATCTTGCCTTGCAGGACCACTGGCAGCAGCATCTCTCTTGTATACTGCTGTGGAGAAAAACGTGCCTGAGAGAAGTGTCAGCTTCAGACTCTTTGAGACAGTTCCTGAAGTAGCTCAGTTGGGCGAGAGTTAGACTGAAGATCTAAAGGTCCCTGGTTCAATTCTGGGCTTTGGCAGAAGCCTTTGCCAATATGGCTTAGTCTATTTTGACATCTCTCCATGGGCTCATCTACACTGGCCCTTTTTCCGAAAGGGGCATGCTAATTTCACAGGTCGTAATAGGGAAATTCGCGGGGGATTTAAATATCCCCTGCGGCATTTAAATAAAAATGTCCGCCGCTTTTTTCCGGCTTTTAGAAAAGCCGGAAAAGAGCATCTACACTGGCCCCGATCCTCCGGAAAAAAGCCCTTTTCCGGAGGATCTCTTATTCCTATTGGCAAGTTGAACATCCCCCAAGTGGTGGTGGCCTGCAGTGTCCTCCAGAGTAGTTGTGAGCACAAGGGGGAGTCATTCCTGCCAGGGTGTGGGCCAGAGGCTGAGCAGCTCGCAAGGGCCCTTCAGCAGCACACTGCTGCCATCCAGCAGGACCATCGAGGGCTTGTGCATCCGAGGCCCTGACGGAGAGTTCCAGACAAGGACAACTGAGACTCTCCTCCTAACAGTTCTCTGGCCTGAGTCCTGCAAACCCCTCAGCCTTTTGCTGCTTCCCTGGCCATAGCAGGAGGCAAAATCAGGGCAAGTCAACAAATCAAGCTACCCTGTGGTCAGCACAGGGCTTGAATCCACAACCTTGATGTTATTAACACCATGCTCTAACCAACTCAGCTAGGCAACCCTATGGGAACATCAGCAATGCAAGAGTCTACACAGCAATTCCGTTATTTTGAAACAATTCTGAAGTAACAGACGGCTTATTCCGACTTCTGCAAACCTCGTTCTACGAAGAATAACGCCTATTCCAAATTAGCTATTTCAAAATAAGGCCTGTGTAGATGCACCACTGCTGCTAATTTGAACTAGTCCCTCCCCAGGGCCATTCTAAGTTATTCTTTCTGAGGCTCTAAATCGAGGTAGCTCGTCTACACTGGGGAGCCTGCCTCTGACTATTCTGAGGTTTCCCTGCAGTGTAGACGTGCTAGTTATTCAAGAACAGCTTATTCCAAAATAAATGTGTGGTGTAGTCATAGCCAGTTATAGCCTTCATCTGTGTAAGGTGTGGTACCAGTTACGGCACAGGAGAAACTGAAGGGTTGCTCTTCAGTGTGGATTCTCCTAAGTCTAAAACGGTTTGAACTGTCACTGAAGGTTTTTTCATACTCAGGACAGTTACAGATTGTTCCACTGAATTTTTGCCACACGTGTGCAGAATGAGTTTTGTTAAGGGTAAATGAGGGGGGTTCTTGCACCCTGCACTGTGGTCGGCAGAGGCATAACATTCTGGGGTGAGACGGCCTCACTGCATCAGCCCTGCTGTGTGTGCTCCCAGGCAGTGGAGGCAAATCTACCTCCTTTTAGGACCTCGGGAAGGATGGTGGCAGGAAAGCATGTGTGCATGCCTGGTTATGTTCAGCCATGCTGGCGTTCTCCTGGCAGGAACTATAAATGTTCCCAGACTGCTGGGAGAGGAGAGTCAAGAGGAGGCACATTCAGTATAGAGGTGGCAAGGATACGGTGGCCTGCCTTGAGCAAGCCGGTCCACCAACCCCGAGCAGGGATTGCCTGGCGAGGAATGCCATGGGTGCAGTTACACAAAGTGTTCCACTGAATTTTTCTCACAAATGTGCAGCATGAGTTTTGTTAGGGGTAATCATAGGGAGGGAATGTGTGACACACCATTTCTGTATTGGTACAAAAAAGGAAGCTTATGTGACAGGCTCAAAGGTTTGGATTGTGGGAAGGGATTTAGCGCTGAGGCAAAAAGTTGGGATGCAGAGGTGTGAAGGCTGGCTCTGGGGTGGGACTGGGGATGAGAGTCTCACAGATGAGAGAGAGTAACATTCCACAAGGAGTAACAGCTAATTTGAGTTAGGGGTTTACTTTGAACTCCTGTTTCACTGCTGCATGTAGATGCAGGTAGTTATATTGGACTAGTCGGTTTCCAAAATGGCGACCGCCTGGGAACATGCTAATGAAGCGTGGGATATTTAAATCCTGTGCTTCATTTGCAATTTTGGTTGCCAGGAGCTAGTGTAGACATACCCAGAGAGAGTTGCAGTGTGGAGAGTTGAGGGCACTGTTCCCTCTAAGGTTGAAACCCACCCACCACGGAAACAGAGCCACGCAGTGGCTACTGAACTGCTCCAGGGCAGGCTGTGTGGCTGGCAGCACGCCCAGGGCAAAAGCACCAGTGTGCGCTTGCCCCAGCAGCCTCACTGGAACCAGAGCTGCAGCTGTGTTGTGGGTGGTGTGCACTTTGGTGGCCTTGGCCAGGGACTGTGCTGCAGCAGCATCACAGACAGTGAGAGCTTCAGCGGCCCTGGCCCAGAGACATGCGGTGGTGAAGTCACTCCAGCAGTCACACATGGTGGTGAGGCACTGATCTGCTCTATGTGCGCTTGCCCCAGCAGCCTCACTGGAACCAGAGCTGCAGCTGTGTTGTGGGTGGTGTGCACTTTGGTGGCCTTGGCCAGGGACTGTGCTGCAGCAGCATCACAGACAGTGAGAGCTTCAGCGGCCCTGGCCCAGAGACATGCGGTGGTGAAGTCACTCCAGCAGTCACACATGGTGGTGAGGCACTGATCTGCTCTAGCGACTGGGGCCATGTGTTGAGGAAGTCTGGTTCCAGCTCCACTTCACTGAAGAGCTCCATCTCAGGATCTGAAAATGT